CCATCGACCGTCGGCGTCGGCCGACGAGAGAGAAGCAGAGAGAAGGGTAAGGTGGGGGGAGAGAGAAAGAGGGAATTTTTTATTAGTTTTGAATTTATTTATTATATTTTTTAATTACAATTAGAGTTTAATTTTTGCAAAACAAAAAAATTATGGAAAAAAACCCAAACCCTAATTTAAAATGTTCATCTTAATGAAATTATAATATAAAAAAATTAAATTTAGTACGAGTTATGATTAGGGTTAGGGTTAGGCGAGGGTTAGGGTTAGAGTTGGGTGAGGGTGAGGGTTAGGGTTAGGGTTAGGCAAGGGTTAGGGTTAGGGTTAGGTGAGGGTGAGGGCCGCAATGCGATTGATTCATTGTGACATCCGATTCATTGTTTCGCAGGTACCGGGCGACCTCCTAGGCGCGAGCGCAATGCTACCAGGAAACAGAGCCTCACCCCTGATATTCATCGGAGGGCCGTGATCCGATAGGAAAATGGAGTGCCTGTCGGGGCCTTTGCCAATGCTTTCAACAATTTCCTCGCCGCTTTAGCCAGGAAAACATGATTTCTTCAATATTTTTTTGACGTGAAAGTCACAACGAATTGATGCGCTGGTGGCTTGCTGGAGATATATGTGTGAGTTATTTATTTTAATTTTTATCATTATTAGTTATTAGTTTATTATTATGTTTAATACACTGATTTGTATCTGTTTTTTCTTTATATGCTAAAGCGATTTTTTTTCTTGATGATAATATTTGTGCCTGGACTTACTGCTTCACACAAATCAATTTATCGTTCAAGAGATTGCGGTTTGAGGTAAAGAAAAGATATTTTGTTCAAATAACAGAAAATTGAGAGTAATTTTGGCATCTTGACGAGTGTCTGGATGGAGTAGATTTTTTTACACTTTGCGATTACTGGGACACGATTGAAATTCAGGTATTATTGAAGTATATATTTTTAATTTATTGTTTAAATTTCTATATTGTTTTGATTTGACATTGTTTTGCAAGCTCAAGCTGAAATAGTAAGGAGGATCCGCAACGCGCCCCGCAGTTACGAACATCACGGGGGCTCCAGGTCCTTCAGCCAGCATTATCATCAATTAGAGCTTGAGGCATATAATATATTAGCTTTTAAGTTGTCAAGTTGAGTATAATTTATGTGTTATGAGTTAATAATATATTTGGATAAAATAGGAAAGGGGAGATCTCAGACATTTTGCAGATCGTATTCTGACTTCTTGGAGCCCGAATTACGCCGATGAAGAGAAGAAAACAAAGAATAAGGATCTAGCTGTAAGTAGCAGTTCATTTATATATTCATTAGTAAGTCGACTTGCCCGGGTTGTTTTGATATATCACAGGAGAAATTACATACCAAGGTACAGGAGCAAATGTCTTAGTCTCAGGTTGGTTCTAACACTCATGCCAAGGTACAGGAGCAAATGTCTCAGTCTCAGGTTGGTTCTAACACTCTTGCCCTTCCAAAATTGGATATTCTTCACTCTGCCGTATCTGCTTAATCTTTTTGAGTTTAGTATTCACCTCTTATCCTCTTCCACTTCCGGGGTTTTCTCTCTCCTCGGCTCGTTCTTCTTCACATTAACTTGTGATTCTATTATGTGATTTTTCTTTGTTTCTTTCGCGCTAAAGTTGGATTTTGTTGATTCTAATGCACTTTTTTTTTTGCGTAAGTTAGGAGGAGGAACCGGATGACTCTCTAGTTCACCAGTATTTCTGAATTATTTTCTTTTTCTTGCTTTAATTTTCTATGGCTGATTTGTGGTCTAGGAAATAGATAGAGATTGTGCTTAGAGATTAGAGGCGGGTAGTTAACGAAATTGATGGGGGAAAATGTGTTTAAACAGTTGGAATAAAGATGATAAAGCACTTTTAGTCTAGGATTAATTGTTAATAGACCACCTGTGGTCCTGTACTATCACCTAATTGTGGACAGAACCCTGAGGTTCTATTTTTGTGGATAGACCTCTACTATTTTCCGCCTCATAAAAACTTTTTTGGCTCTTCTAAAGAGTAAAAAAATTCACTCGGGGGGTCTATCCACACAAATAGAATCACAAGAGGGTCTAGTAGATAGAATCACAAGGGGTCTATTCTCAATTGGGCTATAGTAGAGGGGGTTGTCCGCAATTGGGCAATGCCTAGTTCCTTTGTCTAGGATGCCACTTGAAAAGTCACGACATTTAACCTCTGGGTAAAGATGATACAGGTTTACGGGTGCATTCGGTCCGGATAAAGCTCATATATGATACTTACCATAGCCATATCCGATTACCCATATCGGATATGGATACAGATACGGATATGGATACAAACCCTAACTCTAACCCTAACACAAAACCCAAAATATATACATAATGTTTTTATATGATGATGGTGTTGATGGTGCGTGCGTGCGTAGTGGTGGTCGTATTGGTTGGTGGGTTGGTTGGTTGGTTATGGTGTTGTGTTGTGGTGGTCGTTATGTGATTGGTTTGTGGGGGGTTTGGTCGTGGTGATGGTGGTGTTGTTGTGTTGTGTTGTGTAGTGTTGTGGTGTTGTATTGTTGTGTTGTGATGTTTTGGTATTGTGTTGTGTTGTTGTGTTGTGGTGTTGGGGGAATTATATTTATATTTGCACACTCTTATTAACGGTTATACAACCTTATTAATGTTTAATTTATATTTGCAGGCCGAGACTTCTTCACAAGGTGCAGCCGAGAGTAGTCATAGTGCAGCTAGTGTTGAGGATGATGATGATGATCAGGAGGATTGATTGTAATTAATTTAACTTTGAAAACAATATCTTGTGTTGTATAAACAATATTTATTATGTACCTGTCGGAAAACTTTTATTTGTTTTTATTAAAATATATGTGTGATATATGCGTGGGATTGAATATTATACTGCTGATTGAACAGGGGTTTTAAAATTATTATCGATATTGTACAGGGTTTTTTTAATTTTCAAAATATTTTTTTTAAAAATAATGGTTATTTTTAATGACGGATTTTCCGTCCCTAATATCATTTTTAGCCACGGATTTTTGTCGCTAAATATATATTTAGCAACGGAAAACGGACACGAAAAAAAAATTAAAATAATAAACATAACTTTTAGTGACGGATATTCCGTCCCTAATATCTCTTTTAGCGACGAAAATTCCGTCGCTAATTCTTTTTTTTTTATTTTTTTTAAAAATACGACGACGAAAAAACCGTCGTTAATATCCTATCGTTGAAAATTAGCGACGGATTTTCCGTCGCTAAAGATGCAATTAGGGACCCTAAATGTGGGGACGGTTTTTTAGCGACGAAATTTGTTTTTTTCCGTCGCTAAAAATTATAAGGACAGAATTTAGACCTTTAGCGACGGAATTGTCCGTCGCTAAAAGGTGTAAATCCAGTAGTGCTCGTGCAAAAAGAATCCCTAACATGATTGAAATGATCAAATACTAAAAAAAATCACTAAGCCTTATTTACATCCGAAATCAATTAAAACTTGAATTTTGAAATTTTGTTTAATTTGTAAAAAAGTTCTATTTTTTAGATGTATTATGGCCCTTTATTAGTTAGAAAAATATGACAAGTATGGCTACGTGCAATGCACATACACTATACTAGTATTTCAAATAAATGCAAACACCTGCCTAATAAAGTAGAAGGCTAAATTTTATCTCCTAAAATCCAATTTCTAAGAATGCATAGATGGAAAAATATTCCTATTTATATTAGTACATCTCCAACCTAATTCATCAAATGACCTAATTCATCAAATGACATGGAAAAGGTCACAAGATATAGGCAATTTGAAGCTGGTATTTTAGATGGAACTTTTGAAACCTACAGTTTACCAGACAATAAGTAATTCAAATATATTAACTTTATTAAAATTTACAAATCTTAATATCTAAAAGGTAGAGTAATAAAACCAAACTATGATACTCATGTGTCAAATGACTACGAGCATCTCACATAATTAGAAAAAAAAGAGACAAGATATATATATTTAGCAATGAAAATGGTTTGAAAGATCATCTACAATGAGTACATAAGGTAAGGATAAAAAGAAATGTTACTTCCACGGACTGTGAAATGCTTCTGTTCTAACTGTGTAAATGTCATACATACACATAGATCAATGATATTGTCCAAGAATCTTCTAGTTAGAAGGTTCCATGTCAGACACTTTAGGATATATGGACACTAAGAGACGCGTGACCTGTGTCCAGATAACAGTGATACTAGCTGTGTAATAATTTGCTAATAAGTCTGCAGTACAGATTCACTAACCTTGTCTTCGTCATCTTCCACTTTTCAATGTCAAGGGCATCCATCCCCACATACAGAAAGATGAATGTTTCAGCAATGAAAGACAGTGTAGCAAAGATGTGCCTGGAAAAAGAAAAAAGATCAACATCTGAACAATATGTAAGCTGTCTCTAGAGCATGTGTACATCTTGTACACGAGGTCTGAAAGAACAACTAAGTGCATAAAGGGGAAAATATATTTAATCCTATCCTGGAAAAAGCAAAGGAAAAAGAAGAAAATTGAATTCTTTCCCAGAGATACACACTTTGTTGACATTTTCACAAGACTAACTAACATAATTAGACATGAAAGAGTACTATAAATGTCTTAAAGACTACAATATGGTGATCTAAGTTGATTGTTAAGAAAAAGAACAATCCAATTTTAGAATTTATTTGCATGTTGATAAAACTATCAATCAAATGGCTATGGGGTCACACCTGAAGAAACAGAAAAGAATAATGCATGCATTCCTTGATAGACTACAAATGTTATCTTTGAAGTTAATGAATACTTGTAAATGGAGATCTGTTCCTTAGGACTTGTTGCTGGAAGAAGATAGATAAGCTTTCCGTTCGCTAGTAAAACCTTGAAACAATTAAGTCATGAAGTAGGAGACAGTTGATAATAGGAAAAAACCTTGTTTCCTATGTTCTATCTTCTTCATAATTGGAAAATCTCAATGGGCTTATTCTTAATTTATACAATGCTCTGCTTCAAATCATAACAAGGAGAGGATCTCATCTGGATGAGATCGACTACCTCACAAGGGCACTTCTTATTGGCACCCTAGCCCTAATTCCTTGGGACTGGGGAGTGGATCATTTAAAACCTAGGTTACCCATACAGTTCATCTAGACTCCTGTATCCGTGACTGACACTTCCCGTATCTGTGTCCGTGTCCGTGTTCGTGTCCGACACTCCTTTGACACTTCTTGAATATATACTTACATTTATTGAAACTTGTACTCAATTATATAACACATGTTTTAGTTTAAAAAGCTTGTGATACACTTTTTGGACGTATATCATACACTTCACCTCAAATTTATGTAACTCATCGGACTGAAGACAGTTTTGTTTTCACACACCTAGTTCATAAATATGATTTTAAAGGGTCATTTGGGTATCTAGTTAAAAAACAAGCAGATTTTCAATTTATAATCTACTCAATAAAAGAAACATAAAAAATGTTATAATAATTTTAGTTCTCGTAACTTCTAAATGAAAAACAATATTGATCTCATACAGAATATTAATTTTAATATGTATGTACATAGTCATGTCCTTGCATCCTACTTTTTACAATTTTTCCGTGTCACAAATCTGCACCTGTGTCCATGTCCGCATAATTTAAAACAAACTGAACAGTGTTGGACTTGGGTCATGCCCTAGTAGCTCTCAACTGAATTAGATGATACACAACTCTCACCCTCCCCGATTCAGATGCCAATCAGAGGTGGGTCTGGGTCCAACATATTCCCACTTATTCACGCATTTGAAGTGAATGTGAAACTCAATCTAGTCCATCATTTAATGCTTAAACTACCAATCTGAAGTTCATAATACCACTAAGTTGTATGACCAGCAAGATAGCATTCTGTGAACTACTTATACGACAATGTGTAAGCTAAATGCTTCCTGGTCTTTAAAGAACAAAGTTTTGAGAAACCCAGATCCAACTACTTGTATTTTTGTTCATGATATTCTACAATCATTTTGCGTGTAGAAGAAACACATAGATATTGATCCTTTTATGAAGTAAAAAGTAAGTTTCAAGGCAAGAAGACATAAAAGTTTCAAGGCAAGAAGACATAAGCCTTACAAATATATTAGATTTTATATTAAATTTATAAATATAATAAGTATATAATATATAGTCGAATAATAGTGTAAAAGATACATTCACGTATTGGACAAGAAACAAGAACGAAAATATAATAGTGTAAGATACATTCACGTATTGGACAATAAATAAGAACGAAAATATGCTAAGTATCAACACAACTTATAATAAACTAAGCTACATATAGAAGGCATCTTTTTTTTGTGCCAATGGCCATATTGAATACACGCAGTGTTTTAAATATCGGCCGATAAACCAATATTATCTGCGATTTATCGGTTTTGGGGCCTTGCACTATAAGTTTGAATTTAAATCGGTTATCGTTTTTAGATGTTTATCGACGATAATGCGGCGATAAAGTGAGTTATCGGCCGATATTGTCAGCTCAAAATATTGGAATTATCGGCCTTTGATTTGGGTTTAGGTTTGCCTTTGGATGTTTAAGAATTATAAACTTTTTGTTGCTTTTGGAACTTGGTTGTTTGGTGATTAGCTTATATTTGTTTATGAATATTGACATGGCTCAGAACTATTAAATCTCAACTAAGTGAGGTAGTTTATAATCTCGTGATTACACAATAATTATGTTGATGATTCTTCATTCTTTATGTTATCTTGTTATTTGCTTGTTGATTCTTCATTCTTTATGTTATCTTGTTATTTGCTTGTATGTTATTCCATTTTTACTAACTATGCACTTGAATGGTTTCATCGTGCGACTATCTTGTTATTTGCTTGTATGTTATTCCATTTTTACTAACTATGCACTTGAATGGTTTCATCGTGCGACCAAGAAGCAAGTTTCTACCATTGGTTAGTGATCCTTAACATGATTATTTATATTTTGGTGTATTTATATTTCATTAAGTATGATTAGATTACATTTTAGGATATTATATTATGTTTATACACCATCCGGTAATATCACTCCGATAAATACTACTTATCCCCGATATCTGCTATCCGATATGGATTTTGACTGTCCAATAAATCCCCGATAACCGATATTTAAAACCTTGAATACACATGGTCTAAAGTAATACCAATCAAGTGCTTCTTGTTGTACTCACCTCCATCATAGATAGCATGACAATCAAGTGGCTTTTTTTGCACAAGGAGAAGGTGGTATCTCCAAGCAATAAGACAGATGAATGTCAATTTTTTCTCCTCACGGTTGCTCACCAAATTAGCATCAATATATCCATCAAACCAAGTCTGACGGTTTATAACTTGAGACAATATGTTTTCCTCTCGAGTATTATGTGACCTTAAAACACTGTTTTAATGACCGAGACAGAGGTCAAACTTACATCAACTGAACATATGAGATACTTTGACGAGTAAACAACATTGTATACATGAAGCTCCTGATAGCACTCAAATACTCAGCTTATGCTCTCTTTAACCGCTCTCTTTTTGCCGACAATATTGTATAGGTTTAAGATGATGATTCATTATATTGGAGAACAAATTTTCGATTTAAACCCATTTAATTTTTTTATTAAAAAATTCGACCCAATCCAGTTTTTATTATCAAAACCGATCCATTTCGTGCCACGTCAGCAGCGTGGCCACGAAATGGGTCGGTTTTTTTTTAAATGACGCCGCTAAATAGTCGGGGTTGGCAACCCCAACTATTTAGTTATGTCGGGGTTGGCAACCCCGATTATTTAGCTAAGGGCACGCTAAAATAGTCGGGGTTTCCAACCCCGACTAATTTAGGCCCCTGCCTAAATTAGTCAGGGTTGGCAACCCCGACCATTTGACAGAGAGGTTCACTTCGCTACGACAAAATGGTCGGGGTTCCTAACCCCGACCATTTGGCAGAGACTCTGTCTCAGCCGCCGAGCGGTGAAAAAAACTAAGTGACAATAGTCGGGGTTCACAACCCCGACTATTTGTTCACTGGGCCCCCGACCTATATAAAGGTCACGACTTCACTCTCTCACTCGTTTCCGGTTCCAGCCGCGTCTCTCTCTCTCATTTTCGTCGATCTCCTCCTCCCAAACTCTCTTTGAGCCACGGATCGCATCTTTCTCTCCTCTTTTTTTGTGCGGAATTCTAAGGGTGAAAGATCTAACAGGTACTCTCTCCCTTCTCTCCTCTTTTGACACCTAGAAATCTAGGGTTTTCTCTCCAAAACGAAATTATAGTGTTTGAACTCTATTTGTAGTGGTTTATTTAGAAATTTTATTCTTGTTATAGTTGAAATTAAATATTTGGGGGCATAGAATACTCAATTTTAGGGTTTAGAGTTTGGGGGTCAATTTTAGGGTTTAGAATTTGGGGGTCAATTTTAGGGTTTAGGATTTAGGGGTTTACGGTTGTAATTGTGTTTTAGGGTTGCAATTAGATTTTAGGGTATTAATTGATAATATTTTTTAAATTTTTTGCATTTAAATGATATAATTTTGATTTGTATAGGTTGAACAGTATGATTTTTATTGCTTGCTCTTACGGTGGAACGATTAAGTATGGAATGAATAATATGCCAATGTACGTCGGAGGGGTGACAATTCCGTTAATGATATCGGAATCATACAGTTACCTTGACTTGGTTAATAAAATTTATGGAGTTACGACAATTGACCCACGAGATTGCAGGCTAAAAATAATATGCAATTGGCCGATAACTTATGATAGAACGTCCGCCGTTGAGATCTCAAACGATCATTCCATGAGTATTTTGTTTAATTTGAGCAAGTCACAACCAATGGTAGAATTGTTTATTGAAACGGTGCCACATAGTACGGGCCGAATATTCAACCCTCCAGGAGAATTTTCACACATGTTAGATTTGGAAGTTGAGTCTGAAGGCTTTTTTTCTTCTTCGAGTGAAATACAGCAGACTCAATTTCAATATAAGGGTGGTGCACCTTCATATGAAGAGGGTGAAAGAAGTGACGCCTCTGATGGTGAAGATGAAGATAATGCACCACTTGACAGCATGCAATTTGTGGGTGAAGATGATGAAGAGAATCCGGATTGGCCAGATGAAGCTTATGTTAATAATGAATATGTGGAGTACGAAGAACCACCCCCGACGAGTTTGAGGATGATGAGTGGGTTCGTTCTTCCACAGCACATGATATCCGCATTGGTGAAAGTTCATCCAATAGAGGAGATGATGAGGAGGTTCCTTTCAGAGTTGGTGAATTATTTGAGACTAAAGACCAATTGGTAGATGCTATTCGTGATTACTCAATCAAAAAGTTGGTCAAGTTCAAGCAAATTAAA